CGCACTAATTTAGAGGAGATGAATAGGAAAATTATCTTGGAAAACACCACTGAAAGAAATATTCTTGCTAGGATGAGGAAGCATGCAACAACTCATTTCAGTTACTGTAAATGAAACATCTTCCTCATTAGCTGCAGTCAGAAGAATAAGAAACTTTACCTTTTCTAGAGCAGTAAATAAAAATACAGTTTCTTCCATAAAGTACTTTTACTGAGTTTACAGTACTGATTTTCCCTGGTTCCCTAGCTAAAGACTGATTCAATATTTTTAATAGACCAAAACCAGCCTCAGCCTTTAGAAGAGCTGAGTTTTAATACAATATACACAGCATCCAGAAATTCTTCTGAAGAACAGAGAACTAACAGGCACATCTCGCAAGTTTGGCAAAAAATAAAAACAGCAAAAAAAAAAGCTTTCTTCAAAGGGGCAAAAAATAAAAACAGCAAAAAAAAAAAAAGCTTTCTTCAAAGGCCAGGAATGAAAGGGGTGGGTAACATAAGCTGCCCTAACTGCATAAACAGAAGCAGCACAGAGAAGCTGCATGATGAAAACTTGAAATTATTTTGGCTAAAGTGACTGAATTTTCTGTGATACTAAGCATTTGTTAATCTTCTCCTGCAAGCAATGCAGAGATTTGAAATATCAGGAAAGGAAAGAACTCTGCTGAATAGCCTAGAAATAAATCACATGTAATAATAGCATAAAAAGAATAGAGCAGAAATAGAAATAAATCCCAAGTGGAAAAAAACCCCAACCAAGTATTCCATACAAAGTACAATATTATTTTCAAAAGTAAAAAAAATAAATGCTCTACTGTGAAGGTTTTAAATTTCCTTTTTCTTATTTCCCTGTCCTGTTTTGGACATAAAAAATTAAATAGCAACTGCTCCTTTTCAGTTAGTTCTGAATTTTATTTTAGCTCAATTTTTATTCCATTTTCACTGAGAATGGTGTGGATCTGTTGGAGAAAATCTAGAGGAGGGTAACAGAGATGATCAGAGGGCTGGAGCACCTCTGCTATGAAGACAGACAGAGTTGTGGTTGTTCAGCCTGGAAAAGAAAAGGCTCCAGAGAGACCTTAGAGCAGCCTTTCAGTACTTAAAAGAGGTTTAGATGAGATACAAGAAAGCAGCTTTTTTTTTACAATGAGGGTGGCAGAACACTGGAACAAGTTGCCCAGAGAGATGGTGGATGCCACATCTCTGGAAACATTCAAGGTCAGGTTGGACAGGGCTCTGAGCAACCTGATCTGACAGAGGGTGTTCCTGCTTATTGCGTGGGGGTTGGACTAGATGACCTTTAAAAGGTCCCTTCCAACTGAAACTATTCTATGATTCTAATATGCATAGAAAAAGTAATCAGGTTTTATACTGGATAAGTATAAACTCTTAAAATAATAAGACAGTGACTCACCACTATTTTTAAGGCTATGTAGGTAACAAATTGTTATTTATTCTAAGCCTGAAAAAAATCCCCCAAACCACAACAGTATTTCATAGTGGATTTTGAGCAGTTGCTTCCAAGATACGCAAGCTGTCTGCATAATAACTTAGACAATGCTAAGATGTACAAACCCAGTGTTATTTTCTGTGGCACACAAAAGGCACAGTTCTTTTCATAGGTAGGAGTACCTACTTTAGCAACGTTCAAGAATATTTTATAATTTATTCTAAAGTAAGGCAACATAATACAGCCTACAGGAGAGAGTCATTCATGTTGTAACTAAGGCAGCTGACAGATGAAATCATGTTGAGTTAATGCATACGTTACACAAAGGATTAAAATCGTTATGGGTAGCTTAATGATGCTTTTGGATTTGAACAACTTCGAATATCTGTGTTGTCAGAATTTCTTCAAAACTAATTTTAAGATACTTCCCTATTAAACATATTTTAATCTAAGATATCGATAATTTACGTCTAATTGCAACCCCCATTTCTAGGCCTTGGCATGGCATCTTGACTTTCACCTTGCAGAGTTTGTGGAGATTTTGGGGAACGGATGCATGGACTGCAGGAGCAAGGGGAAGCTTACCCAGCGCGTGGCTGCAGCTGCGGCAGGGCTCGGC